AGGAAGACGAAGCAGAGGAAGGATAGAGGAGGATGGGGGGGGGGGGGGGGAAGGAGAAGGGAAGAGAGGGGAAAAGGGACAAACAGGTGGGGGGATGGTGAGGGATGGAACAGAAGGGAGGAGCAGGACAAGGAGGATGAGGATCAGGAGAAGGAGGGAGAACGGAGGACGAAGAAGAGGAGAAGAAGCGCAAGCTGCGCAGAGCACCTCTAACAAGCCAGGCCCACATTACCCCACTCTCTGCCGACGACGACGACGCCGCCGCGCCCACTACTTTGCGCAGGCGCCGGCGCCGAAGCCACTCCATCGCTGTCCGAGCACCGCGCCCCATTGCCTACAATCATGGCGAAGCCGCCCTCTTTCCCCGGATGCGGCGACGCACCCGCGCGTGCTCGCCACTCCCGCGCGCAGACGCCGCCGCCGCCCCCGCGCCGCCACCGCCGCCAGACAACGCCACCGCCCCAGCCGCGCCCGCATACACCAACGAATCTCCCCCGTCCCCTGCCGCCACCCCCATCGATCCGCCACCGCCGCCAGTGCCGACCCCAACAGCCAGCCCCGCACCGTCGCCACGCGACGCCGCAACCACCTGGCCCTGCACCGAGGCCCCAGCAGCCGCCAGCACACGCCGCGCCGACGCAAGTGGAACGCCCTCGCTCACCAGTCCTGCTCGCGCAAGTACGCAAGGTCCTCCATCCGCACCGCGCCAAGGAAAGCCAACGTCGGAGCGCAGTCCTGCAGATTGGAGGAATAGCATAACAATAACACATGTCCTGCTCTCCACCCTCCCCCCGCCCCTGACCCTGGACGGAGCGCGCTGGCCCATGACGGCCCCAAGACGACTCTATATGGTTCCAAAGATGCTCCTACGAACCTCAAGACGCCACAACACGGCGCAGAGAAGACAGGTAGCTCCCCAACAAGACCCTCTGGAGGCCTCGAAGAGACCCCGAAGAGACCCGCATCAACGGACGAGTCCAACTCCTGCGAACGAAGGAAGCACTCGCGAAACAGAGGACGACCTTCTCCCCACCCCCGCCTTGCTCCACCACGCAGACGAAGGTCCTCCAGCCCATGCGCCCTGAGCCACTCCAGAAAGTCCGCCTGCATGACCTCAGCCCGCCGCCACGACGCGCCATGGCCGTTCCCGACCTGCCACGTCCACAGCTCGCCCGGGCGTGCCTCTCTCTCCAGCCGGCACCATCCCACCACCACCCCGCCCACGACATCCGCCCTTACGCCGCGCCGCCGCGGGCAGCGCAGCGTCGGCTAGCCAGCGAGCCAAGCTGAAGCCAAACAGAGGCCAACCAGATGGTGAGAGCGCGGATTAAGAGGATAGGTACAACTGTATTAATAAAAGGTGATGACTATGTAAGTGATGAGGATGACGGCGGCCATGGGATCTTGGGGCAAACGCCTTCAGCGGTAAACGTCGAGATGTTTCACCCTGGCGGTTTGTTGTCTTCTAGCGCTCAATACCTAACAGCGAAAAATGTTAGGTTTCTAGTGAGCTCAAAAGAGAGCATCTTGACTCCCCAAGGAGTTCTGGGCGGGTGCCGGGAGAAG